GGGCCTCGCTCTCGACGCGATGGACGAGCCCTGCTGGCAAGTGGCGGGGGCGCGCCCAGATCCCGGCCGACGCCAGGTCGCCATTGCAACAGAGCATCAAGCCGCACAGCGTCGCCGCCGCCACCTGCCTCTCACGCGTCGGTTAGCTTCACCCTCCCTCGCCGCGCTCCTTGGCCAACGAACTTCACGGACATCGCAAATTCATTCGGGCTGCTCCCTCGAGCTTCTCCAATATGGACATCTTCCCCTTCGAGTGCTGGACGGGAGTGGAAATGCCCCGAGGCCTCGAGGCCCCGCGCTTTGCGACGACGTGGAGGACGGCGACAAAGACGACCAAGTCGCGGCCGAGCCTTCGCCGTGAACGCCGAGAAGTTGCTGGATATCGGCCTCCAATCTTTCAAGTCATTGAAGGTGCCTGGCGCGCTGCCCATTGGGGGGGCGCGCTCTCCATTGCCCGGCGCTTCGGCCAGATCATATCCAACCAGATTATCCCGACGTGAAAGGGCTCTCTCCAACAAGATGCTCAAGCGCTCGCTTGGCACCACCGAGCGCGCCTCCCACGTTTTGTTTTCTGCTCACCGTCGTGCCGCTGCTGTCGCAGATCGTCGCGCGCTGGCGGTGGGCGGCCGCGACGAGGCAGCTCCTGTGCCCGAGACTACAGGCCGTGGCGTGGCCCAGGGTCGTGGCAAGAACCGAGGTAGAGGAGCGCGTGGAAAAGCCGAACCGCCTCGACGCGCCCGCATGCACGAGCTCCAGACCCCCCCCCCTACCACGTCGCTGTCGACAGGACGATCCTCGAGCGCCTAAAGTCTTGGTTTCTTCTGCTGGGTCACTGGCCTCGTGTTCGTCTATTTCAACGTTCTCAGGATGCCGATCACGATCCGCCCCCCCCCCCCCCCCCTCCCCGAGAGCGACGCCCGCGCGCCGCGGCGCTCTAGCCAACGCTAACCTGCGCGCCGAGGCTTGGGCGGCGAGGTGGGTTCCCAGCGCCCCCATGGGCCTTTATCGCGACTCTCGATTGGATGGAGCGGCGCGCCCCTCGCCTCGCCGCCGCGTTGCGCCGCCCACAGTTCGACGCCGCGTTCTGCCTTGACGACCTCGTAGTCGATGTTGAACGGCGCCGTGATATTGCCATCGAGACCTGCGGGGCCATCTGGCACAGGCCCGCCTGCAGTCGGAGCCGCCGTCTTGATATCTACTCGACGGCCCGCCCAAGAAGCTGTTGAACACCGAGCTCGCCACTGCTGGCTGGCTGCTGAAGGTCTTCTACGCGATGAAGATCGCCGGCTGCCCGGCGACGCTGCGCGCGGGGGTGGCGAGCCCCCGCAGACTGACGTGATTGGGATTTCCGAGTGGCCTGCGTCTCTAGTTGCGGCATGGGCTTCATTTCGTGCTCACCTTGCACGCGAACCTCGACGCTCGAAGGGGCCTGGGCGACCAGGTACCGCATACACGTGAACCCGCGTAAGTACAACTGTCTGCTCGGCTGCCCCATCAGCAAGAGCAGGCACAACATCGACGACAGACCGCGCTACCCCACACGCCTGGGAATATGGTCGCACGTCTGCCATCCGCGCGGCATGGCGTCCGCCAACATCCTGACGCGCATGGGCCTCAGCGGTGCAGTTGCGGGCGGCGAGAACGGCATGCGCCGCGCCATCGCGCTTTTGGCGGCCTCGCTCAAGACCTGCTGCTTTCTTCGCATCCAGAACTCGGTGAACAGCTTCCCGAACTCCGTGGATGAGCCCATGGCTTCGCTCAGCCAGAACATCGACCAGCTCGACAAGAACGCCGCTGCCGCGGCCGCCTCGCGACGCGCCGCGGGGCTGCCGCCGCGCCTCGCGGGCGGCGCGGGGCCGCGCGGGCGCCCGCGATCGGATAGATCGCCCCCCATCCGTTCCGTTCTCGTTCCCGCTCGCCGGATTAATCATCCAGTCTTCGTTATGTTTTCCATCGTCGCCCCTTTGCCCTCGAATCTTCTCCCCATGCCTAATTATTCACTGTCTTCTGTTATTTTCCCCCCTCCTTGCCGCCCCCTTCATCCCACCCTTCCCGTGTTTAACTTCGCTTTTTCTTGCTAGCGCCCGTTTTTGGTCATCTATCGTCGCCTTCACGGCCCGCCCGCACAAGGATCCCAGTGGCCATTTTTTGTCCTGCGTGGTCCCACCTCAAGGCGACGCCTGCTGAGTCCAACGAGTTGTCTCCGCCTTCCCTTACCCAACAACAAAACATATGTTGGCCCTGGTTCTTCCCGTGGAACTGCTCGAATCCCGCCTCGGCGGCGTGGAAGGGGGCCCTCGAAGGCCCGGGAAAGCAGGATGAAGGGTGGGGAAATATCTCCATCCACCTCTTATCTCACTTCTCCCTCCTCGTCCCTGCTCTCCTGTATTCTATATATATACCTATATATATATATATATATATATATATATATATATATATATCGTTCCCTGTCTCTCTCTCTCTCTCTCCTTCTCACTCTTTCTCTCTCTCCTCTTTCTCCTGCCCCTTTTCCCCGCCTCAAGACGGGTGTGAGATTGCCCAACAGGGCCCCGAGAGAGGCCCACGATGGCCCACAAACGGCCCAAATAACGCCCACGGCCTCCCCACTGGCGCCCGAAGGGAACCGCAAAAAAGGCGACGCTGGGGGCCTTCAACGAAGGGGCAAGGCTGTTCACGGACGCATATGTGATCGATGTCCTCCCTGATGATTCCAAGATGGCCTCCAACGCCCACGCGAGGGCCCCAAGATGGCAAAAAGGCGCCGGAGAGGCCCCACACAGCGACCTAGAGGCCCCCAGAGGCGCCTAAGAGGCCCCCGAACATGCCCCCAACAGCCGAAGAGGCCCACAATAGGCTCCCAGGGGGCCCCATGAAGGTCCACGGACCGGAAAGAGCAATAGACTCCGAGAGGCATCCAGGAAGCCTCTGTCATGTTTGTTTCCTCTCCTCCTCCTCCTCCTCCTCCTCCTCCTCCGCCTCATCCGACTATCCATCGTCCTTATTCCTCTTACCTCTTCCATCCCCCTTCATCGAGCAGCAACGGCTGCTCTCGTCTGTACTTTTACAGTTCTTTGATATCTTCTACTCGCCTGGGCATTGTTTCTGGACGGACTCGTTGGGGGTACTTTTTTGATTTGCGGCCCGCAAGGAGAAGTCCAGAGGGCGGTATGACCGAGGCTGGGGCACAGCGCAAGATAATTGGCGCGAGAACGCGCGAAATGCACCTGCAAAACAAATTAGGAAGAGAGGCGGCCACAATTGGGCAACCACCGAACACAGGCCGGACCCGCAGGTGGGGCCGGACCGGTACCCTGCCGGAGTACACGCAGACCCAAGCAAAGACCGCTGGGCGGATGCCAGCGGAAGAGAGGCGGCCACGGATGGGCAACCACAGAAAACAGGCCGGACCCGCAGGTGGAATACCGACCGGCATCCGGAAGAAGAGAGCGGAGCCGGGTGGCGCGAGCGAAACAGACGCGAGCGGAGATGACGGGGCAGAAACAGAGCGCACAGGGGCGGAAGCGCGGTGGACTCACTCACGTGGCACCCAGTGCGTGTACGTCACCGAGACCCCGATCACTCTCAAAGCCACCGATGGGGGGGTCGTTGGGGGTACGCGAAGCATCAACAAGTATAGAACGCCCTCATAAGGCCCGAATGTTGCTTGAGCCCCCGAAGAATTTCAGGGAAACGCTGATGATGATTAGGGTGATGATGACGACAATGATGATGAGGATGCTGATGATAATGGGGGAATTGAGGATAATGATAATCATGAAGATGCGTTGGAAGATGATGATGATCACCATCAGCATGCTCATCATCATCATCATCATCATCATCATCATCATCATCATCATCAGAATGTTCACGATGCTATTGGATGTTGATAATGAAGAGGGGGAGGATGTTATGATGATGGTGGTATGGTGATGATGATGGTGGTCGTGATGGTGGTGGTGATGATGGTGAGTAGTAATTCTATCACGGGCGTTAGATTCGTGAATATTGGCCCGATTGATGATGACGACGACATGCGAAAGGCGCCGCGCTGAACCCCCATGGCGCGCGGCGCCACCTCATCAGTGCCGCGCGCTTTAAACCCTGTAGCGCCTGGCAGACTCCGACGCGGGTCGGGGCGAAGTCAACATGAAGGCCAACCAATGCAGATCGGTTGAAAATCAGTTTCCAACAATTTCCCCACACTTCCACCGCGACTTCCCCATTCTGATAAGTGCTTGAAAGTAAGTCACGGTTCAGAAGCCACGATAATGTCTTGAGAAGAGTAGCTCCGATGTCGTGGAAGATGGGTACGACGGTGCACGATCAACATTTCTATACACATCTATGTTTCAGAATTGTCGTTGCTCATCTCAGTTTGTCTCGTACTGTCCACCTTTTCCTACCTGCGCCACGTCGTCTTCCATTCCACCCGCACCCTCTTCAACCGCGCGATTTGATGCTACGGTCTCCTGCGACCTGCCCACAAGGCCACATGTATTTCGGTACACGGTGCCAGCGCTGCTCCGCTCCGTCGGGCGTTGCGCAACAGGGGGCGATCAATAGAGGGGAAAGGCGTACCTGCTGTGCCCGAAAGGGGCTCCCTTGGGCCCCAAAAGGGATACGAAAGGGGCGCGCTTCTCCCCCAACCGTTGCATCGCCCCCCATTATGCACTTGTGGGGTCCCAAACCCAGATAGCATGGCGCCAATAGGGCGTGCGAAGGCTTGTGGAAGTTCCCTTGAAGGACCTGCAGAGAGCTTCCGAAGAACCTTCTGCAGAGCTTTGCGCACGCGTATTGGATAACGCTTAGACAAGGCCTGTTGGAAAACGCTGCAAGTTCAGTCAAGCCCCGCCGAGGTGTCCTGCCGGAAGCCGGAACGAGCTCTGGGGCTACCCTGCGGGTCCGGCTCGTTTATCTGAAACCCTCTTAGCTCTCAGAGAGCCATCCGGGAAAAGCCCAACTCCGCTCCGCTCTGCTCCGCTCCTTCCGGGGAGGAGCTTCTGCGCAGCCCGCCTGGTGCGGGCACCAGCGGTGCCACGGCGCAGGCCCGTCGCCGCGGTCGTCGTCGTCGTCGCCGCCGCCGCTCCTCGGAGTCGTCCTCACCGCCGCCGCCGCCGTCATCTCGTCGCCGCGGGTCGCTGCCGTCGCTTGCTGCTCGTCGCCGCTGGTCGCCGTTCACCGCCGGTCACCGCCGCCACTCGTCGCTCGTCGCTCGTCGCCGGTCGTCGCCGCCCGTCGTCGGCGTCGGCTTCGCCAGCGTCGGCGTGCGGGTCGCTCTCGTGGTCCTCTTCTGTGTCCTGCCATGCATCGATTTGCGCTCTGTCTTCCTCCATCCCCCTTCCATCCTGTTCTATCCTCATCCATCTTTCAATCCTTCCTCCTCCTACCTCTCGTCCTCCTCCTCATTCGTCATGCGCCGCCCTCCTCGTTCACTGCAGTGTTATTCCTTTCCCTCCGCACTGATTCGGGTCAGCTCCAAAGTAGCTGCTCAGCTAATACACATAAATATGTGCATATAGATATATAAATACACATTTCTATGTATCGCCCTCTTATTCTAGACGCATCGCGTAACCCAGCCAGTATCGCTATGCCGTGCTTTGCTCGGCTGGCTCGTTTACTTCTGGCGCTTGGAACGACACGGTACAATTCGTTTGCCTTCCCGGCGGTCTCGCCCCTGGAATGATTGCACTTCAGCCGCCTGGCACATCTGGCACCTTTCGCAGCTCAGCCTTCAGTCCCCGGCGTTTTCCTCGGCGGCAGTTTCGGCTGCCGTTTGTTCGCGCGATTAGGTAATTAGGTTTGGCTCGTAGCCCGGGCTGACTTCGGACGCCGCCTGCGCTTCCGCTTGCGGCCGCAGAAAAAATCACCCAACCAGCCCATCCAGAAACGATGCCCAGGCGAGTTGCCTTGATCGGGGATGTGCAGGAGCATGCAGTGGAATGAAGGGCCAGAGAAGCCGCCGTGCACCAAGAGGGGGAGGATGGAGGAGGAGGAGGAGGAATCGGAGGAGGAGTGGGAGGGGGGGAGGAGGAGGGCAAAAGGAGGAAGGAGGAGGGAGGAGGAGGGAGGTGGAGGAACAGGCGGATGATGAAGAGAATGTTTGTTCCGAGCGTTCCAGCGAACGGCCAGAGAGGAGGAGGAGGAGGAGGAGGAGGAGGAGGAGGAGGAGGAGGAGGAGGAGGAAGGGGCGGAGGAGGGGAAGGAGGAAAGGGAGGAAGAGGAGGGGGAGGAGGTAGATAGAGCGGCGTAGGGGGGCGGAGCAGTGCGTTCGGCCGCAAGGATGGGCCCCCGCCGTCGCCGCTCAGAGCGGCACCTTCATCGTGATCACGGCGCCACGCACGCTGATCACCTTGCCGAACGAGGCGTAGTCGAGTCGGCCATCCATTTTCTCATAGTCTCATAGCCCTCCCAACCACGCAGCCAGCTCATCCTCCATGACTCCCGCTGGTGGTTTGCCCGTCTTCACCGTGGCTCCCGCTTGGATCAGCGCTCTGTGGGTGCTGTCCTTGATGTTGCTCTGCTGCTTCTGCACCTCTGAAGGATCCTCCTCGGCCTCCGCGTCGGTCCAGGGCCCCTGCTCGATATACAGTGTGATCTTCGCCTGGTTGCTGTCGTAGCACTTGCTGATCTTCAGGTGCTTCACCTTGTTGAGGACTGTCGCCACACTGGCCTGGTCCACGAAGTTCCCGTGCTCTGAGAGAATGCTCTTGGTCTTGGCGCCCACGTCCTCGGAGCAGAGGGTCGAAATAAGCGTGACGTAGAGGTGTCCTTCTGGTGGTCCCAGCGAGTGTCCCTTGCCCGCCTCCTTGCACTTGTCCGCGTAGATCTTCCTGCAGGCTCGGAGCGCCTTGATCACCTTGGTCTGAGTCGGCATCAGGTACGTGCTGTATACCGCGGAAACGACCCAGGCGATCTGCTGCGTGTTGGCCAGCACTTGCTTGATCAGCACCGTGAGCAACTTCTTCAGCTTGGGGTCGCACTTGGTCTGGTAGGCTTCTCCCCCTCGTTGTTGGCGTCGTACTTGCTGGCCTGAGACAGCGGCTGTTGCTGGGCTTGCCACGCCCTGCTGCTCTTCCTCTTCCTTGTCCTGCATATTGGCGTCCCCGTCCGCGTCCTTTCCCTCTGCCTTTGCGCCTTTCTTGTGGTGGCCGCCCTTGCCCTTGGGGTGCGTAGTCTTGCGCTGCTTGCTGGAGCGTTCCGTGTCCGCCATGCTGGTCGCCACCTCCTCGATGTTCTTCTCGTTTGGCACGCACCAAGTCGTCCTGGAAGAGGCCGATGTCGAGCGAAATCTCGTGCTCTGCGGTGGGGAGGTGATTCGTGCAAACGTGGTCCTGGAAGCTTGAGAGATGTGCACACGGATGCAGGTGTGGACAGAGGAGACAGACTGGGTTCTCGATCGGTGTCAACGGATAGTGAAGCCTGGTGTTGTCGGCAATGCAGCGCTTGTGTTTGAGATCGCAACAAATGATCTTCGGCTTGGGCTCGATCGAGAAACGTGATACGACAGAGCGGACACTGAATGGTGATGGTGGCTGCTGCAGCTGCTGATCGAAGCCCATGCTCTCCTCCTTTTGTCGCGGTCTGATGGGTACAGAGCGTTGCCCATGATGAAAAACTCGGCCGCAGACTTGTCCCGCGTCCGTTAACAGGTCACACTTGTAGTAACCCAGTTCGTCTCCTGCTCGTTGGTCTTGTTCGTGTGGTTGAGGCTCGAAACCAGGAGGTGGAATCGCTACTGCTGTTGCACTGGCTCTGAGCTCTGCCACGTCGATCTTGATGAAAGCCGCTGCAACTTCTGCGTCGTAGTGCAGTTGAGTGATGCCCCCGTCCCATGCGTAGCTGAACCCCTCGGCGCTGTTTAACTCGAGGATGGAGAGGACGTCGTTGTAGTACTGCTTCGCCATGAGGTTCGCGTCCGCGATGAGATGGCCATTGTCGTCGAGCTCTCCGATGTGCTCACGATTGTAGTCGTTCTCGAACTTGATGGAGCCGAAGAGCGCCGTGAGCCACTGATCGTAATCTGGCGGGTACTTGACAGAGGCCTGTATCACGCGCAGCCTCCTCACTCGCAGCTCAATGTACATCGGGGAGATGTGGCAGTGCTTGAACACTTCGCTGTTGGCCATGGTGCGGTAGGTGCCCGCTTCGTCGATGTTGGTGGCTTTGCCTTGCATGAGTACGCGCATGTAGGTGGCAATGACGGCGTCGAGGCGCTTGTATTCGGTGTCCTTGGGGGGGTAGGATTCCATGCCGCTGGTTGCGGCACCAATCACCCTGTTAATGAAGATGATACGTTTGAGGCGCCACGGTACTTTGCGATGCCAGAACTTGCCCATGATGTGCCAGGCTCGCTTGATGTTTTGAATGCGCATGTCGACATCGATGGCGTTGCTGCCGCCGCGGTGGAAGTGGCCGCCCAGATAATTGAGGGTGCGAAGGACTCGCCCTTGAACTTGATCTGTTAGGGCTCGGTTCTCCCTCCGCGTGCGCAGGCCTCCGACGATCTCCTCCTTGCCCCTGTTTTGGGGGAGCCCGTGCTCGGAAAGGCACTGATCGAGGATGGTGTTGCTGCTGGCGAGGGCCGAGGCGGCGCCCCGCGCAGCGCCCGATGGGGCAAGGTGCATCTTGAAGATGTCGCCGACGTACAGGTAGACGGAAAGGTCGAGCAGGGCGTGCGTGATGGGTGACGCGGCCGCGAAGGGGGCGGTGTCCTGCGGGGTCTCCCCGAGCCATTGTCCCACTGGTTGCTCATAAACGAAGTTGAAGGATGTCGGTCCTGTGCTGCGGCCTGGCATGACCCCCGAGCCGAGGTGGAAGTCGCCTGTGGAGTCGAACCCGTCGATCTTGACGCTGGCGCACTGGTAGCGTTGGTGAAATAGACGTTGTTCTGTCACGCTGAGGGCGGTCGGGATGGTGTCGATGGCCTTGTCGATCTTGGTGCTGGGGAAGGCGTTGGTGGCGTCCTTGCTGCCGACGATGAAGTCTGCTTTGACCCGCTGCAGGCGGTGGGCGACAATGCGGGAGGCTGCCATGGGGACTTCGCGACGCCTATGAGGCCAGCAGCCGTGAGCATGGGGAAGAGGTGACCACGGCTTGGACTTGCACTGGGGCTGTCTGTAGAAGCAGCGCCAGAAGGGGCACAGCATGTGGAGCATGCGCAAGCCGAGGACCATCGGCTTGCCGTTCTTCTTGTCGAGGGTGAAGCTCTGGCTGTGGTGGGCGTTGGGAGGGGCGAAGCCGACGCGGTTCACGTGGTTGAGGACTGACTCGAAGCTCTCCTGCGCGAGGGAAGCCTCAGCGAGCTCGCCATCGTAGCCCACGCCTGTCGTCTTCGACTTCTGCTTGGTGATGTTGGCGGGCTGGAGGGTCGTCTGGAAGATCTCGGCGGGCAGTGACCAGTCTGGCACGGAGGCGCGCTTCTTGAAGTACTTGAGCCGCTTGGTGACGCCGTGGAGTACTCGCTTGATGCCGTCCTTGGCGTCCTCGTATTCCTGGCGAACTAGATGGTTGTGCTCGGTGGTGAACTCGTAGTCTTTCAAGGTGCACTTCTCCTCCTCGAGGTCGATCTGGTGAGCTCTGAACCCTCCGTGCTGGCCGTCTTGTGCAATGTGATCTGCCCACTCCTGCAAGCTGGGGCGTGCTCTGGTCGCGCGGCTGTAGTTGCGGTTGCGCGTGCCGTAGTTGGTGCCGGCCAGGAGTCGAGACAGCTGATGTATTTCAGCGTGTTCTCGTCGTTGCCAAGCCTCGTAGACGCGCTCCTCCAAGCGTTGTCTTCGTTCGGCTTCGTGCTAGCGCTTCTGCTTCTTGAGGGCGCGTGAGAGGACCTCGATCTGGCACTCGATCTCGTAGTTGGGGTCGGCCCCGATGCACTCCTCTCTGACCTTGGCGCGCTCCTGAAGTAGCCGCAAACGTTCCTCCATGAGCTGGTGGTACCGGTCGGGCTTGGACTTCTGGCGCTCGAAGAAGGGCTTGGCTGCCTCCTTCATGATGTTCACGATGAGCTCCCAGTGTTCGTCCGCTGTGTTGTCCCCTGCCAACTCCT